TTTTCACAACTTTAGTAAGGACTTTACATGTTGGAATTTTCTCCAGGTTCTTTTGTCTCTTCTCACAGTCTGAAATCACAAAGGATTAGATATTTTAACACTCCAAAGAATGTGAGTATAAAAGTATAGAAGTTTGTCTCCGTATGACCTTATGATAGACTGGTGGGCATTCTAGGGCAGGGTACTCCAGTATGTAGAGGGACACTGCCACCAGAAGGGTTCCAAGTTCAATAAACCCCCAAAAAACTGTATTACACTGTAATGCAAACGGGTAGTAATTCTTTCCTCATTCATTTATGAAAAACTAAAACATTTAAATAATTAAAAAAATAAAAATTTAAAACATATATATATATATATACACATATATATGTACATACATATATACATACAACAGCCCCCTCCTCTCAGTTGTGTTTCTTTCTCTTTGAAAAAGAAAAGAAAACTTGCTGAGGTTTGTCATCAGACCTCAGAGAATAAATCACCCAAACTGTGAGATAAAGATAGAAAGTTTGAGAAAAGGCATGAGGAAGAGGAACAATCTGTCACACTTAATCTGCATGTGTTTGGACTTCTGACCACATCCATTCCTTTTTAATAAACCAATTCATTCATCATAAAAACCAACAACTGCATCATCAAAGGCTCTTTGTGGTTATTTGTGACAACACAGAGAACAAACTCCCAGGTACCACTTTAAAGCTTATTTAGTTTTCCACATGACGCTGGGAATGTTGAGCTAATGTTGAGCAAAAACAATTTAAAAAAAGAGTTAAAAAAGAGTTTAATACTAATAAACTCAAATCTAAACTAAATCCACAGACTGCACAGTGGGTTAAACGCGGCTGTCGGTTCCTGTTTTACACTCATTCAGACTCAAAATAAATCCTTGAAAAGGATTAGGATTTAAAAAGCTACAACAAAACTTTTGTTGTGGGGGTGCTACTTCCGATGCGATGTGTAATGGTTTTAGCATCTTGCTAAATATATGACCTCGATTAATTATGCTAGTTTTAAAGGCAACCACTACCAAGATTTACTATATCGTACTGCTAAGAAAGACTAGCAATCTGGCCGAGATCCTTAGAAAACCTGGGTTGATGTTAACCAGATTCAGGTGTTGACATCCAATCTGACTGGAACCAGGTGTGGATGTTCAAGGCACACTGGAGACACAGCTGGTGAGGATATTGAATTAAGGCTGTAAAAGACTTGATGACAAAGGTAATGGCGTAAAGTGTTAAAATAGTAAACCTTATCTCCTTCAAGGGTGTACGATTCACTGCAGCCAATAGGGGCCACTGCTGTGTTTTTAGTGCTTTTGTTGTGCCTCTAAATTTGACCCAATATCATAAGTAGATCTACAAAATAAATGTTGTTGGTAGATCCCACCCCCCACCTCCCCACACACACTCATGTCAGGGGGGAGCCAAAGGTCGGCCTTAGACTAACATTTCTAAAGCTCTCAGACTGATGACACTAGGCCCTGGTTCTGACAGCCAGTCATAAAGAGTCAGTGACTTACAGATGATCCGGCTCCACAGTGAAGCACTGCTGAGTGTACATGGGTTGGGCTATAACTCGGCACAGAGGAGCCACTGTCTCAGGGTAGTAAGAAAGTTGGAATAATATATATGTTGGACGAGGGCCCGATCTTTAAGAAGGAGCTGGAGTGAAAACTTCAGACATCCTGCAGTATCTCCGTGATATCAAAGGCCCCCTAAAAAGTCTAAATTAAATCACTGTAATAGCCGAGAGGGGAGATTGGGAACAATAAGCTACATGAAATTAGATTTCCTCCAGTGATCAGGTTCCACGCTTTTACTTTCAAACAGCAACCATTTGTGAGTGGGAAAAGAGAAGGAGGTGAGGGAGGAGGGGAAACAGGAGGAAAAAGAACTGGTGGTACTTTCTGATTTGATCATGCTTTGAAATGTTAATGGGACTAAATTTGAATGTGATCCGTCTTCAAAATAAGCAGAGCTAAGGAACGGCATATTGTGATTGGAGGAGCCGGTGTTTATCCTGCGTTGGGGCTCCGTTCTCCGCTTCACAGAGGTTTTCTCTGGCGACTGCCCTCCAAGCCAGCTCAAATAAAATAGCCCCACGGTTCACAAGAAAACCTGAGCGAGTTTCTGTCACCCTGAGCACTTCAGCAGCCAAGCCCCCAAAACAGAATAGGAAAACATGGCAGCCCCCACAGGGCCCTGAGTCAACAGGCCTCCTTCCTCTGCTGGACGCCAGAAGCTGCTTTTCCAATCACAGGAAAAACTATCAGCAGCCGCTTGTGGACACGGTGCTTCTTATGAGAAAGCAGGGAGAGAAGAGGGACCAGAAAGCAATTCACACGTTTTATTGCGATGAGCAGGAATAGAAATTCCGACTTATTTTTAACAAAATGTGGAAAGTGTTCCTGCTGCACACTCACTCACACACACGTACGCTCTCTTACTATTTTTAAATCTCACCTTAGAAGACTCCTGTTTTCTTGATTTTCTCAGCCTCGGAATTCCACTGTTATTTGGCGTTTGTCTAGACACCGTATCGTAAACAACCCTACTACTATTAACTATGATTCTAATACCTGGTAGTTTTATTATGTACATTCTGGGGTTTAAAATACTGCCAGGCAGCACGTTCTTTTATTGTTAGGGAATTGCTACAAATACATTCCCACATTTTTACCAGTTCACTAACATAACAGGGATTTTAAGACCCACTGTTAATCACTCCTTCTGCCTTTGAAACTTGTTGGCCCATTCCATTACTGGATAGGTTACATTTTGGTGGCAGCTGTGTCATTCGGTGGTTACCAAAGCTCCCCTTTAAGACCAAATCAGTCAAAAGACAATAATAAAAATGCCTAATTATAAAAATACAACATGGAATTCTCTATAAAGCCTGAATTCAAGTCACTTGTGCCAGTGGTGTCTCCATCAGCTACAGTTAGTAATTTCTGGGATGTTTTAAGAACAAGGTCAGAACCAAGCTCCTTTAAAACCGGAGTCTCAGACTCAGATGAATCAATTTAAAACACACCTTAAGGGCAAAATAAAATTATTGTTTCTTGCATCCAGTAGCGGGACAGCTGTGGAAAGTTTGCAGGCCAGAAAGTGGCCCCAGGGCCAGTACTCTGAGTTGTCTCTTCTAAAACTGTTCTTTCAGTTTTTAGAGTTAAAAAGAAAGAAAAGATGGAGCTAAATCAAAAAGTGTTGCAAAACCTCCCAGTCAATGTTGGTGAAGGAGTTTATATTAATATTCATAATATCAGCTGAGTTTCCCAACATGCTATTGTCTGACACAATAGTTTTAGTTCTTTTTAAATGGTAGATAAAGTCCACAGATTACATACTGTATTGATCTGATTTAGAAATAAATTGATAATAATTCATTTTCTCCACAGTCCATATATTCAGATGTAGGCGTGGTCTTGTAATGGTTCAAATACATGTCTGGAAATGCTGTGTTGATTCCAAAGGAGTGTCTTTGAGTACAACGGTGGTCTAAATACTGCGTTAACTGACTCAAAACATTTTCTAGTGGTCATTAAGACGTAACTAAATAATATTGTTTCGATGAGACAAACTACAACAGCTTTTATGAGTTCTATTTGGCAGACTGCCCTGGAGATGGTGAGGAGGGTAGGGGCCAGAGGGAGTGTAATTTTAGAAGAGGGGTTTAGTTCTGGAGACGAGCCAGGACAGAGACTCCCAGTGGAGTTTGAGAGTCGCCTGCGGGCCTGAGCAGCTTAAATGTTTTTGCGTCTTTCTATCAAAGTGCTGCGTATGCTGCTTCTTGACAGCATTAGAGAGAACCCGAAAAACAAGTGGGGCCCCTTTTTGAAGATCAGGGTGGTCCCTCAGCAGTGTTGGTTCTCATAGCTGAAGAGCTGATGTCAGCTGTTGTCTGATAGGGTGGTTCTTAAAAAGGATGCTGCAGCTTGTAGCTAGAAGAGAGTGAAATATAACCAAATGAAACATGGAAAAAAGGGCATTATATTTGCAGTAACTGTAACTTTAGTGGTATCGGAGTGATGAAGGAACACTGAGACTGTCGCTAATGTATGGTTGGAGACATAAACACTGTCTCAAAGACCACAGGCTGAGCTGGAGTTAAATATGCTCAACATTTTCCTGGAGGTTAACCAATATGGATAAGACTATGGACAAATAAGAGGTGCAATTAAAGCAAGTTTGAGTTGGTTTGGACAAGTGTGAGGAAAGTTGGTGGAGATATTGGACAAAAATGTAGAAGAACGGTTAGTGGACACGTCCCAAAAACCTTCATAGACGTGGAGATAATTGGTAACTGAAGGGCAGTCACAGAGAAGGAACAGTGGGTAAAACCCAGATCTCTATCTGTGTTTAACACAACATTCAAGAAACATAAAAGTGCATGTGCTGCGACAAAGTACTGCGTACTGTATTAAATACTCAGAAGGAGTTGGCATGATAATGAAATAGAAGTAATCCCACAGCTTGGTCTCACAAACTGAAAACAAAAAAACACATTTGTACAACATGTAAAACTGGATAATGGTGGTTCTAAGTAAGAGCCAACCCTCGTACACATCAAATCAAGAGGTTAAAGGTTTATTATGGGATGAACACGTGGTAACAACCTACCTCAAAGACGTCGTACAAGATGTTCCACATGTTACTGACTAGAGTACTGTTTCTTAAACACTGCATGTTCAGTTTGATAACAGGTAATGTTACTGTTCTTGTTTTTAAAAATGATGTATTTTAACATAATCCAACAAATAATCCCAAGTTTATCCACATGTTCAACCCCTGCTGTGCAGCAGTTACTGCTTTCCAAAGCTATTCATTGTTTTTCATGGCCTAAAATGAAACTTGTGGCACATATCCTGGTACAAAGCTGAGGGTCTGGTTACACGTACAGGTTCTTCACCATAGTTCCTGTCACTTAGGCCTGTCACAAAACCAAAATAATTTCAGGTTAAAACTGTTGACCTTTTGATGTTAAAAACTTTTACTTCAGCTGGAGCTTGTCTTGGATGATCTGAGGCTGCTGGAAGTTGAGGTAGTAGTTGGGATTGAAAGTTGGGCATCTGTAAAGTACTGCTCCAACACTAATCTCAAGTCTGGCTTGTCCTCCAGAGCCTCGTGCAACATCTTACTGCCGTTTTTATTCAGTCCTTTTAATTCCTTCAGTTTGATGTCCTTCTCTTCGAAGGTCTCTCCTTTGGTGTCGTTTGCTGCACGGATCTCTTTGCTCAGCCTCGAGCACTGTCTGGACGCCCTTTCAATTTTCTCGTGGAGTGAATTGAGTTCTCGGTTCATTTTACTGATAATCGATTCTTTGTACACAATCTTATCTTTCTCTGTCCGCTCCTGTAGCAACAGACTTTCTATGCTGCAGTTTATGTTCTCAATTGCCTTTTTGAGCTCTTCCACTTCACGTTTCCTGTTCTTGAGTCCATCAGCAGCTACACTTAGCTGCTTCTCCAGATTTACTTTCTCTCGGTATTCTGGAGACAGTTCTTTTTCTTTGTTGAGAGATTTGCGGAATATCGTGTTGCTGTTGCTGAACCTCAGGATGACATTCTCCAGGGCTTTGTTTTCCAGCTCTAACGTGCACACCGCAGAGTCCAGACAGTCTCCCTTGCGTCTGAGCTCCTCTTTTTCTTGTGCTATCTTTACGATAGAGTGGGCGTGCCACTTATCCTCCTCTCCCTCTGGAGCCTCGAAGGAAAATGTCATAATCTCACAACGTTTCTTTGTCACTTCAATTCTGACCAGTTTGTCATTCAGTTCAACCCTGATCCTCTGTCTCTCCTGCTCCAGAATCCTCAGCTTCTGGCTCTGGATCTCTCTGTAGACCTTGAGCTCCTCCTCCCGCTCCTTTATGTCCCTCTGCAGCTCGAGCTTCCTCTTCTCCAAAGACAGCACAAAATCAGCCTTGTTGTACAGCTGATCTCTCACACGTTTCACCTTCAGCTTTATGATGTTTTGCTCCACCATGCTGTCCTGCTTCTTGAGCCGCAGTTTCTTGAGGTCACTGTCACTTTTACGGTCAATCAGCATGAGCTCCTCTACCTTCTCATTGAGGGATCGTTTCAGAGGTCGGGACTTTTCTATTTCTTTCTTTAAAAACCGTATGTCGTCCTCCGATTGCTTTAGTGTCTGGCTCAACATAGTTGCTGTCTTCTGCTTTTCATCTACCATTTTGTTCAACTCAGCGATCTTGCTCAAGAAAATGTGTAGTTCTTCCAACTTAATGTCACCCTGCAGCCGCGCTAGTTTTCTGCTCAGGCAAATGATGTTGGACTCTTGCTCATTGACGTTCATCTGATGTTTAAGGAGTTCACGCTGAAGTTTTCGGAGCTCACTTTTTAAGCAGGTGATTGTGTATCTGCTCCGGGAAATGTTGGTAATAGAATCTTTCTCTTTGCTCTTTAGGCCATGCAGATGCTCTCTATTACGGGAGAGCTCCTGTACGACCTCATTTAGGTGGAGGTCCAGCTCCCTGATCTCCATCTCCTCTTCTTTTAGGAACTGCTCCATGTGCTCTGCTCTTTCCTCTTCAGTAAAAGTCGAGTGAGTTACATCTTGAAGTTTCTCTTCCAGTGCAGTATTTTGATCCTTGGCCTCCTCAATTTTCTTGTTGTTTTCCTGAACATTGTCCTTCATTTTGCCTATGTTGGACATCACAGTCTTGACACTGGTGTTTGCTTTGTCCAGTGTGCCTTTACAGCAATCGAGATCATGCTGCAGTGAGCTGCACTTGTTCTCCACGGTCTCCAAGTCCTGCCGTATTATTAACACCTGCTGTTGACTCAGAGTTACCTTCCTCTCAATCTGCTTGTTGTTTTTCTTCTGGGTTTCCAGGAATTGCATCCTCACTGTAATCGTGGCGTTCATTTCGCGGATGTTCTGCTTGGACTGCTCAAGTTGCTCTGCGCACTGCTGCATCTCTGCATCACGTTTCTGCATCTGCATGACTGTGTTTTCCCATTGTTTAATCAGCTGCTGCGTCTCCTGGTGGGCCTGCCACAAGATCTCTGCAGCCTTGTCCAAAGCAAGCTGTGTTGAAACTGTCTCTGCATACTTCTGCTCAAAGAGTTTGCGCTTTTCATTAGCTTCCAGGCTACTCTTTTCCATAGCCAGAGAGAGAGACTTGATCTTCTGTTCATCTTGTTGAGAATACTTGATGATGGCCATCGTTTCCTTATCTTTCCGTGCCGACTCCTCTAAAAAGGTATCCATTGCCTGCTGGTCCCAGTTCATCTGCTCTTTGAACTCCTCGAGCTTCTCTTTTGTCTTGAGGATGTTGCCACCCAAGTGTTTGCCCCGCTCTTCAAAATACTGGAGCTCCTTTTCCATTTTGGTAATATCCTGTGTCAAACGACTTGCCTCGCTGACTGCTAGGGCAGTGAGGTGGTTCTGCAAATCACGTTCTCTTTCTTTGGCTTTACACAAAGCATCAATGTGATCCAGCTCCTGTTTGCCATTTCTGAGAAATTCATTGATGAACTGCTTTTGAGATTTTGTGCTCTCATGTTTGTTTTTCAGTTGTGTGAGCTTTGTCTCTTTGATTCGAATCTCCTCTAGCAAAGCCTTGTTTTCAGCGTTAGGCTCGGGGATAGCAAAGCTCTCATCCCAGCCTATATTGCTTAAAACTGAATCAAAAACATTCGCCATCTTGTTCCGCAGCTTGACAAACCTTAAATCAGGCAACACATTACTTCATCAGCATAAACACCGATCAGCCGACGTGTTTATCTGAATCAGACGTTTGTGTACACTAGACACTTTGATGATGTCACGCCTTTAATGGCTGTGATTCACCAAATTTCAAAGTTCAGGTTGTTAGGGCAATTCTCATACAGCATTTGTACATCAATGGATCAAAAAGAAACAGCAGGTGGTAATGTGACATCATAAACATTAGAAAAGAACAAATCTCCCAGTAACAGACATGGTTTTCTTTTTTTTGTTTAACCTAAAAGTCAGGAGTGTAGATTACAGTGAGGACATCACATTTTCATCACAACTTTCTTTTTGAACTTTCAATTGCCATCATAACAGATGAAGTTTAACCAATAGACCACCACTAACTACCAACCCCTGGTCTGGTTATCGCTATTTTGACAAATTCGTTTTATATATATATATATTACATCTATTATATTATATCTATTTTACCAAAAATGATTTCTCCTACTCATGCCCCTACAATACAGCCTTGTTTCTTTTGAACCTTGAATAGTTTGTCTCCTGGCTTACATTTACTAATGTTTATTGACAATCATTTATAGTACTTCACTGTAAATAGAAGTGGTAGTAGGAAATACAGGGAAGAATGACCCTACACCTCCTGCCATACTATGCCTCACCCACTGATACACCAACCATCTTCATGTCCGTTGCTACGTCCACGAGGGCTCCAAAACGATCTCACTTTAATGTTCTAACTCTTGACAACCTTAACTGTCATCTCGTAGGCTTAACCTAAACCTGCTGCCTCTAATCCATCATCTCCAGCTCAGCCTCCTTCCTGTCTTCCAGAAAGTGTTACTTTTTCCAAGCCATACATCATAATGGGTTTAATGCTGCTTCTTAACAGCCAAATCCACTCCATTCTCTATGCATTCCCTTTTCTCCAGGCCCACCTATCAGTCACCCTTATCAATTGCATGACTAAACTCCTTCCCTCAGACTGTCATCTTCACTGAGAAGGAGGTGTGGTCAGGGAGCAATCTGCAGTCTCTCAACACATCTACTCCCTCGGCCGGGAATTCCGTCTGTACCCCAGCGACTTTGGAGCAGCTCCACGTGGAAAGTACTGTGCAGTGGAAATTGGCAGAAAAAAAACAACATTGAGACTTTGCAGTCTGCGACTTGTCCAGATTAGCATTCCTTCCCTCTGACACACAGAGGTACATCGACCATTGACCAACAGGGGAAGCACTTTGGAACACACTGAAGGGAATCCAAGGAACAATGGATGAAGAAGTGGCCTAAAAGCTAAGCCTTATTGCTTATTTATTTGTCAGTCCACATATTGTTTGTCAGTCAATTCTACCTATCAACTGTTGCCATGGTAACTTGAATCCATCCTTTCATCTGCAGACGTGGTGGTCAGTGCACACACTGGCTGATTACCATTTCAAGATAAAGGCACAAAAACTGGCTCAGTGTTGTTATATCCTCGAGTGTTACCTCGAGTGTTACTAACTGTAGATTTTTCCTTTATATCAACAGTAATGCATAAGGTTTTTGGTTTGTGTTTTGTGGGTTATAAGTCAGCTTTCCACAGATGCTGAGGAGACATATACTGTGGGATATACTGGATTAACAAAAATAAAGACTGAGCTGCCAGGCAGGAGAAAAAAGATGCCAATGTAGATAAACAGACGATATTGTAACAACAGAGGAAGTAAAAGATGGAGTGAGATAAAGGCAGATGAGAGCAGTAACAAGTAGCAGTTACTAAATCCTCGAATGCCTGAGTTGCTACACAGCACTGGCTCGGTGCAGGAGGAGGCGCAGAAATGAAGTGAGAGCTGAGCGATGAAGAGGAGGTTTCATTTTCATCAGTGAGGGGGTCAGGTAGGAGGGCTGCTGGCGGCTCAACAGTAGCATTCTTCCACACATAGCTGGAAGTAATCATTGAGTGAGAGGAGAACTGAACTCTGAGCTCCCCTCTGTTTGCTTTGGCTGCACCTCCCTTCTCTTCCTCCTGCCTCCACCTCCTCATCCAAAGACGCTGTTTGAGCCTTCCTTTCTATCCGGTGTCTCTTAGTATTGTTTCCTCATCAGAGTTAAGCTGATCCTCATAGTTTGTCTTTGCCAGACGGGAAGGTCAAAATATATTGTCAAAAGTTGGGTTCTTTTTATACTTAACTACATAAAATAACCTTTTTTTTTTTTTTGTAGATTTTTAGGGAGTTTTGGTGAAAGCATTAATCTTTTCAGATATTTGAAGAGTCTCAAATCAAATTTTCATTCCAATGGCCTAACTGGTAATATGAATGAATGAAGGCTGCATCACAGCTACCAGTTTATTTTTCCATTTCAAGGTCAAGGGTCAAGGTCAGCTTTATTGTCAATTGATCATTGATTTTATATGTGGGAGTGGTGACAGTAATATTGAGATGGCATTAAATGGACACTTCATTTGACTGACAATTAGAGTATATCTTGATGTAAATTCAAAGACGTACTCTCATTCATTCCTTTCGGGGTATCTTTCCTTTTTATTTACAGGTCTCCTGAACAAATGGTTGGTCACTTAATCACCTATTACCCATCTGAGTCCCAATATCAATGTTTGTGGATATTTGAGTTTAATATAATTATAATGAGGAATGTCATCACCAGTAAAATGATACATGGTCATATATGGTCCACACACATATGTATACATAAATAGAAAATATACTGTACATCTGTTACTTAAACATTAGGGAGAATCAGGAGGGAGTTTTTTGAGAATCCAGTTTCTCAGGAGCTCCATTTCAGACTTGGAGAGCTGGTGATACAGGCCAGAGAAGGAGTGGAAGGCCGTCCTCATTCCAGCCTTCTTCAGAAGCTCTGATGTATCTTCTCCCCACTGATGAAGCACCAGCTCATCGCTGGTGCCATGACACTGGAACAACTCAGGGAGGGACAGTCCCTCTTTAAGCCTGTTCTCCACAGCCTGGGATCCATGGAAAAACACGGACAGAACCATTTCGGGGTTAGGGTTTTTTCTTTTTGGTTTTGATTTGTTTTAGCTAAACTTCAGTTTATTCTGTGCTCCTTTCTTTTCGTCAACTTGATCCTGTTGTTGCATGAGTTTTGCATAATCTTTCAGTAAATGTTACCTGATATTTGAGAACATACTGACCTTTTTAGCAATTTTAGGTCTATTTTTCCCCCCATCATTTAGCTGCTTTTTTGTCAGGTTAGTTTAGCCATTGTAAAAATGATAAATTGTACATTTTTTTTCTCTCATTTAATAGGAAATCCTGATTTTTGTGTTACCTGAAAAGCAACAGAGCCCTTGTTAAGAAAACTGGACAGGGCAAAAACTCCTCCCACATCAGGGTGATACCGACATGCCAGGTGAAGTGCCATGGCTCCGCCCATCGAAAACCCACCTTAAAACAAGGGAAAGAAAAAACAGTTTTAAATAGAAGCTAACATATTTAGCCTTTCATAAGTAACGACAGCCTTTCTTTGAAATACTCTACAACACAATAGGATAAACAGAGCTCCGCAGTTCCACATCACCACTTTTTTCAGCATGGAATAAGAGGCCGTTCACGAGTCTGTCCTTAATCTCACACATCTGGGCACATCTGGGCACAGTGCACACATCTGGGAATGTGCACAAGTACCCATCATACTGTCAGAGAACAGAGGATTTGAGGCGAGTGAGAAAGAACCGGTGGAAGAATGAAGATGAGGTGGAATTGCTGGCTCCACGTGCAAGGAGCCAGCACCACTGAAATATATTGGACATACACTGAAACGCTGCTTTTTACTCTGGTTCCGTGGTATATTTTCTACCTTCCTGCTAATTGTTTCATCACTCTGACTCACTGTCGTTCTCTCTTTCTGTAATTCCTCAGCCTGGGATCAATAACGTAGATTTATCTATCCAGCTGACCCTTCATCAGAAGTGCAGAAAAGGTCATGATAAAAACCTCTGACTCAAATTTCGAGAGAAGATATTTGATATGATCTCATCACTAAAACATTTTTTAAAAAGAATTATTGGTTTGATAGATTCAGGTACTGTAATTGAACATTTTGTATGTTGTGATCCTTTGTAGAGGACAAAGCGACATTAAAGTGGTGTAAAAATGATTATTCTTAGTTCTTATCGTGGTTGGTTTAGAGCATTTGTGAAATACCACATTATATTTTTATAATGACTCTTGTCATTGTCAACATTAATAATAGCATTGCTGGTATGGATCTACACTACGAGTGCATGAGGTTCCCACACCTCTGCACATTCAAACACACTTAAAAACACTGCAGCCTGTGGCCTGCCTCTGCAAGAAACCTTTTCCATGGAAACTTCTGGCGCTTGTCAGTCCGTCAGCTGGGGAAATGGACTCTGGGTACATGGAGCAGTTTCCAGCACTGAGTATTTATAGTTAATGACAAAATGTTATGATTTAGTAAGATAATATTTCAGCAGTTTCCCAGGAGCATGTGTTTTTTCACTCACTTTGTCTGGAATTG